TATATATATATATATATATATATATATATATATATATATATATATATATATATATATATATATATTCTATGTTGAGAGTTTTTAAATGTTCGTACTTAAATATCAAAACAAGCTAGCTCTATCATGTCAGTTAGTTGTCTGAGAAGTTGTTGAGAACTTCAAAATTCTAAACTATGAGGCATTTGGACCTGACCTCCCTTAAATATGTCATCACCGAATAAATATTTGTTATCTCTTACATATTTTTCTCTCAGTGTAATAGTTTTTTTTAAATAGATTGCCGAATATTATAGTCTTTTTTAACTTGAAAAAAAAATAATCCGCTCCTTAAAGATGTTTTTCGAAAGTTTGTGCAACCCAGGAAATCGTTTTTGATTCTTTGAATACTGAATAAATAATGAATCAATAATGCGTGCGTGACTAGGAAATCCCTTAAGGACTCAGTCGCATTGCATGTTGGAGCTATTATACCAGTTTGTACGCGTCGGGCCAGCTGACTATTTACGGATACCGTGACGCGGTTGACTTTGACAACTACAGCAACGAAGGAACGGCGGGCGATATTAAGAGCAAACCGCGACGAGACTTCGCTTGAGTCTCGTGTTGCCGAGACGCAACGGTGGCTTCCTCGCTGAAGCATGGGCCGTTTCGTCGCCGAAGTCGCCGCCGGTAGAAGAAAACTTCAGAGACGGCCCCGGCGACATCCTTTGAACTCGCGGCTGCAACGACAACCAAATAATCGTTTTCACGACACCCGGAAGTGTGTGACGCGCGCGAGCCCGTGGTTGATCGTCCCGTGGCTCGCGTCCCTCGTTCGTTTCGCCGTTTAAGTCGTAAAGTGTTTGCTTTGCGATATTGTATCGTTCCGCGGTATCAACTCGCGAACTTTACGCGCGTCGTTATTCGTCGGTTGCTGCACCGTGCGCAAAATTTCGACGGTTTCGCGAACGCGGCTATTTCCGAACCTGCAGTCGCGTTATGCAACCGCCAGCTGGGCTCTTTCAATCGCGACGTTCGATGAACGTGAGACGGGCAAGAGATAAATTTTTATCGTTGTGATATTTACCATAAGACCATAAATTTTCATGTTTAGTCAAGCTGGAAAAGCCGAATTTCGAGTGGATTAATGAGACGATTGCATGCAATCGTGTTGCTTTAGAAAACGCAATTGTGTATCGCGAAACGATTAATCGCCATCGAGAAAAAACAAGCTTCCCCCATAGAAATTCCCTCAGATTTTCTTAGATACATAGCGTAAATTTCGATTAGAATGTCTAAATTTGTTCCAAAATCAGCGATTCAACTTCGATATACAAGGTGTCTCACATTAAGCGTCTTATACCTCGTGTAAATGTAGATTAAATCAAATTAAATATAAAATTTATCTACCATTTTGTGAATAACTACGTGAAATTTTGAGTTATTAATTCAAAAAGATTGACGAATAATCACGCGCGACACAGCTTGCCGTTATATGTAATTGTAGATTGTATCGAGATTTCTATTTTATATTTAAATAAAATAAAATATCTGGATATAAAAATGAGCCGTACAATAGCTTTATTATTTTATACGATCTGAAAAATTATAAAAAATATTATAAAAGATAATTTAATTATAAATAATTACAATACATTTGAATCTTTTTATTGTGACGTTAAGGTTTCATATTTAAAGTGAAAATTAATATATAATGTTATATTATCAAGATATTTTTATAATTTATTCCAAAAAAAAGTTTGAACAGAATATTTAAAACAATTTGAGTACTTATGCTTTTTAAATACTTATAAAATGTGCGTAAATACTAAAAGCGTTATTTTATTTAGCATAAATATAAAATAGAATTCGAAAGATGGTAAACTTTTGGAAAATACTCGGCAGAAAAAATGGGATCTATTTGGGTTCTTCACTTGGAATCGCATTTTTAAAACATTACACTTCTAATCCGAGCCTTTATAAATTTCCCAATTTGACTCCATTATTTTTTTGAGAAATCAGATTGGATTCCAATTAAATCCCAGAAAAATTTCTATACGGGAATGTTTTAAATACCCGACCGATGCTCCGTTCTCGTTATCTCGAGATATCCTCGCCACGTGGTCGCGATAGGAAGGCATTATTCGTGGAAGCGATCCTTCCTTTCGCCCGGCGACTACGGAGAGAAAGGGAGCTCTCGTTCCTCGCGAGAAAACCGAAGGCGGTAGCAAGGCGGGCGGAGGGAGTTGAACGACGACGACGACGACGACGACGAAGGCGCATTCGGGGTGGAGGATGGTGGTGGTAGCGCTCGGTGCGCAGGCCGAGGGGCAAGATGAGGGTGGTGGCAGCGTGAATAAAGACGAAGGGTACGGGAGTGTGACGG